AGAGCCCGCAGAAATGGTTCCGGGGTCCCATGGAGTGAAAGGACACCCCCCCTCTCCGAGCTCCAAGGCAGAAGTGAAATAAGAAACCACTCCCTGCCTCTTATCAGAGTGTGTGAGGGAAGGGGATGGAATACAATGGTTCACCCCCACCCAGGGTCCTCCCAGTTGCTGGAAGGTCACGCCCCCATTCCAAGCCTCAAACCACAACAGGCATCTCCCAAAGAAGCTTTGGGAATAGACAGGGAACGTGGAGGGAAGGAGCGACACAGGCTGTGTTCTGTTGTGGCAAGGGGGTTACAAAGTGGTTTTTTCCGCCCCCCGGAAGGAACTTTGACACTGTGGGGCCAGTTCAACTGTCAGGAGCGGGTCTTGTGGGCTCCCCAGGCACCCAGTTCCAAGGACAGTGCATGCAAGAGCAGTGGAGGAGCCTGCAGTGAGGCAATCCCCTACCTGTTCAGGCACGAGGCCCCGTCGTACCCCCCAGCAGCATAGAGAAGCCCATGAAGTGCTGCTACACCCAGGCAGCTCCTCCTGGTGCCCATGGACACCTCAGGTTGCCAGGAATTTGTGACAGGATCATAGGACTCCACTGTGGCCAAATCAGAGGTCCCATCATAACTGTAGGGAGAAAAAAGGAGAACATGTCAGAGCTGTGAAGCTGGGATGGCAGGTGAGGCTGTGAGCTGGTCCTACAGCCCTGGAGCCAAGAGCCTGGACAGCACAGCCTGCCTTGGGTCCCTGGCACCACCCTCTGCCCCTGCCCAGCTTCCTCGAGGCAGGGGGGGACCCAAAGCAGCTGCTGAAGGTGGGGAGCCCATAGCTGAGCTCTGCTGGGGCTCTGCAAAGAAAGCAGGTCTCAGGGGGCCCCACACGCCAGGGCAGAGCACACTGGGGAGTTCTCAGGCTCTTACCAGCCCCAGCATGGCCTGAGGGAGCTGGGAGGACACAGCTCAAGGCCAGGACCCAGCCACCACCAGTCAAGAGGGAGCAAACTCACTGCTCTGGACGGCAGGGACAGGACAGTGGCTGTCAGCTGCCACCCCTGCAGTCAGTGACCCCGAGGTACCAGCCTGCTTCACCCAGCTGCAGAGGGTCCAGAGGAGGCCACGAAACCCATCCGAGGGCTGGAACACCTCTGCTATGAGGCACACTAGCCCAGGTTGCCCAGAGAGGTGGTCGCTGCCCCATCACTGGAAGCATTCCAGTTAGGTTGGGTGGGGCTATGAGCACCCTGCTCTAGCTTCAGATCACAGACTCACAGAATGTCAGGGGTTGGAAGGGACCTCTGGAGAGCATTGAGTCCACCCCCCTGCCAGAGCAGGACGATCAAGTCTAGGGCAGGTCACACAGGAACACATCCAGAGGCGTCTTAAAAGTTTCCAAGGAAGGAGACTCCACAACCTCCCTGGGGAGCCTGTTCCAGTGCTCTGGAACCCTGAAAGGAAAGCAGTTCTTCCTCATGTTGAGCTGGCACTTTCTGTGCTCCAGCTTGTATCCATTGCCCCCCATCCTATCACAGGGCACAAGTAAAAAGAGATTGCCCCTTTCTTTTTGACACCCAGCCCTCATATATTTATACACACTAATTAGATCTTCCTGTTGTGAAAATGGGGATATAAAATAAGTCTTCTCTTCTCCAGACTAAAAAGCCCCAGGTATCATAGAATCATAGAATGGCTGGGCTGGAAGGGACCTCCAAAGCTCATCTAGTCCAACTCCCCACCATAAGCAGGGACATCTCCAACTAGGTCAAGCTACTCAGAGCCTCATCCAGCCTGACCCTGAATGCGGTGGTGCCTCCCCCACCCCTCGGGGCAACCTATTCCAGAGGTCTCTCAGCCTCTCCTCACAAGGCAGGTGGTCCAGTCCCAGAATCATCCTCGTAGCCTCTGCTGGCCTCTCTTGAGTAGATCTGTCCCTCTTGAAACGGGGAGCCCAGAACGGGACACAATCCCCCAGCTGAGGTCTCACCAGGGCAGAGCAGAGGGGGAGGAGGACCTCCCTCATTCTGCTGGACACAGAGGTCCCTGCTGAATGCAGGGGGGTCAGACAACCTCTGAAAGCCCCTTCCATCACACATCGCTCTACAGCTACGATCCCAGGTGACCCCGGGGGGCTGTGCTGGCCA